CTTTTTTCTTTTTTCTTATGTGGTGCTGAGGAATCGAACCCAGGGCCTCAGGCATGCAAGGCAAGCGCTCTACCACTGAGCCAACTTCCCAGCCCGAGACTCTTATTTCTAATAAACCACTAGAAAACCTGATGTGGTGCTATGGCTCAGGTGGTAAAGCACTAGCCTTGAGCTAAGAGCTGAGGGACAGCGCCCAGACCCAAAGTTCAAGCCTGACGACTGACCAAAACACAAAACAAAACAAAAAAAGTCTCATGGGCTTTCCTGCCCAGGCTGGCTTTTAACTGCAATCCTCAGATCTCAGCCCCCTGAGTAGCTAGATTACTGGCATGAGCCACCGGGGGCTGGCTTAAGTCAACTTTTTGAAGGTCATTTATTGAGAGGAGAAAGAAGAGCAAATACCATGGTAGATTGCAGGAGCCCGAGCTAGCCATTCTGTCCTAGGCTACAGGTTTAGTTGCAGATGTCTAAAGGTGACACGAGGCTCACGCTGACATTCCCAATGCTCTGGCACAGGGCACAAGCCAGCCTGGCTGGCACAGACAAACCCCACAAGGTTGGCTACCTCTGTTGCTGGCCAAAACACTTTCCGTGACCACAGACAAGTATGCCGTGTTCACAGTAAGAGACCCCTGTGGAGTAACAGACAAACCCCGCCGGGCATGGAAGATGCGGTTCTCAGCGCCAAGGTGGTGTGCCCTCCACTCCCGGACACCTGCTACCGAGCGGGCGCGGCACCCCCTCTGGGCAGCACCTTGCACCTCCCATCCTTACCACACCCTGTGTTGAGGAAACTGAGGCACAGAGGGGAGGGCCAGGCTCTGGAGGAGTCCTCCACCCCACCACCTGCTGCACCTCTTCCTCCACCCCATGCACAGGCCGGTCCCAGCAGCATGAGGCAGAGCAGGGCCCAGGCTGGAACTGCTCCAGGGAGCAGAGCCTCCGCGGCTAGGGACTCAGCCCCCAAGCCGCCTGCAGGCTGCAGAGAGAGCCGCGCCAGGGCAGACACCCCATCTCTACCTCATATTCCTTCAGGGTTCCCTTCCAGGTGCACCCATCACTGAGACAGACGGCTGGCAGGCTCTCCACCTCCCTGCGGGCAGCATTATCTGGAAAGGCCTGGGGAGAGGATTGTCCTAGGGTTACACCAGCCCGAGCCCCACCAAGAACACCCCAAGAATGACCCACACTGCCGTGGGCAGGCGGGATGACTCTGAGGAACGGGACCCCCCACCTGCCCCGCTAAATGTCACATCTCCTCTGGGACCATTTCTATAAACCTAAATATTCACGTTTGCTCAAAGTCAATGTCCAGCACAGTAACAGGTTTGCTAAAAGGCAATTTCTAGCCTCACCAGTATTGATGAAAACTTCAAAACATTTTCTGTGCATTCTGACATTTTAGCTTCAAGACACTGCACTTACCGAGCTGCTTTCTAAAATAGAAATGCCTTCTTCGTAGATGCCCTCATGGACACAGGCAGCACAATTCTGAGGCCCAGAGCTGGTGGGAACAGAGAAAAAAAACCCACTGCAAAATCTGCTGCAGAGAAAACTGACACCATCTGTTCAGTCCACAACCCAACTCCGTACCATCTTTCATAAAACCAACAAGCATATGTCACTTGTACGCTATTTGAATGCTTTCAAACAGATAAGAATATGCAAATACTGAAAAAGTTTTGGGGGAGGGGACTTGAATTTCCAAGGCCAAGCCGTTCTTTCTTCTTTTTCTTTACCCCAGTTAGGGACTGGGCATGGTCTCACCATGCCAAGCAGGCGGTCTGTGGCTGAGCTGCCTCCAGCCCCTCCCTTCTAATTGTGAGCAACATGCTTGCTCTCTTAGACATGCCCGGGAAACACCCGGGAGTGCCCCTCCCCCCCCCACAGGCCCCGCTGCGGGGGGGGGGGGGGGGGGGGCAGGCGGCTCACCCTCTCCCACCACTCCCGGCAGGCACTCACTTAACAGATGGCTTCAGGCGACACCCCAGCCACACAGAGCAGCCTGGAGGGGCCACGCGTCTATTCCTGTGCCACATCGCCAACTGGGACTACCCCGACTGATATTCTGCACTTGACTCCACGTGTCCAAAACCAGTATGCTAAGTGATTAATTTACCCTCTTGGTTTGTGCTAAGCCAGGGAGGACTAGTTCCTGGGGCCACTCTGATGGTCAGTGCTGCTCTCACAGCCCCACCCCACCCCCGCCCCGCCCCGCCCTGGCAGGTGGCCCTGCGCACCTGAGGATGCTGGAGAGACAAAAGGAGCAGTAGCGGTGGCCGCACTGGGCCTGGAAGGGCCTCCGTAGCACGTTCCTGCAGGCTGAGCACAGGTACTTGGCCTCTAGCTTGGTCCCGAGGAGGGTCTTGGAGAAGCCTGGCTGCAGCAGGTCTAGGGAGCCAGGGGGGGTCACGCTGGCTGCAGCCATGAGAACTGCGCCCCCACACACCACAAAGCCCTAGGGAAGAGCACAGGCCGTCACTTCTCCATTCAGGATAAATCCTCCAGAAGAAAACAAAGCAAATGAAGCCCACCAGCAGGCAACTGATGGGGGTCTGGGCCTACAGACGAGGGGCTGAGAAAACAGACTCCAGAACTTGGGCAGCCCCAGTAACAGACTAGTCCAGTCTCCTGCTACACGTGTGGGAAGAGACACAGCAAGGTGGCAGCCAATACCATCAGCCTCCTGACTGCTGGCATGCGCCCTGGCTGAGAGCCCTCCTGCCAGCACCGCTGGCCAGCATCCTCCATCCTGGGCCCATGGTTCCCTCAACACCCACTCTGGGGACGGGGTGGCTTCTACAACACAGCACAGGAAGCTAGCAGGGCAGAAGCCCACCTTCCAGTTCCTTGGGGTCCTAGAGAACACTACAAGGCCACATGTGGCAGGGGACCCAGCCAGTTGGTCCGTAGACACTGAGCTCCCCATCTGCTGTCCTCTTCCCCACCTGCTCCACACTGGACACAGCTGCAGAGTCCCTCTGCATGCTGGCCCCGCACTGACGATCCCCACCAGCACACTCACTCCTATGGCCCATTCCTGCTGCTGCGAATCACGGCCAGCCCGGCCAGCGGGGCCACCTCCACCCATGCTCATCCTGCTCTTCCTCACTCTAGGACCCCTCCTCACTCTCCAGCACAGACTGGCTTCCTGTCCACCTCCAGAGTGATCACACAGCAGGCTTCTCTCTTCCACGTGCACCAGGAGGAAGAGAGGGCTGCTCAGGGTTCAGGCTGATGAGCAAGGACATTAAGACCTTCTGACAAGCTGGGCGCTGGTGGCTCACGCCTGTAATCCTAGCTACTCAGGAGGCTGAGATCTGAGAATCACAGTTCAAAGCCAGCCCAGGCAGGAGAGACCGTGAGACTCCTATCTCCAATAAACCACCAGAAAACCGGAAGTGGCGCTCAAGTGGTAGAGCGCTCGCCTTGAGCTGAAGAACTGAGGGACAGCACCCAGGCCCAGAGTTCAAGCCCCACGACCGACAAAAAAAAAAAAAAAGACCTTCTGACAGAGCAGAGAGAGCACAACAGCCACCTTGCATGCCAGGTATCCTCCTCAAAGACACAAATCCGGTCTCAGACCCGCCAGCGATATCCGCCAGCAATATCTATTAAGGCCTAAGAACGCCATAACTCACCGCGTGCTGGTGGCTCACACCTGTAATCCTAGCTACTCAGGAGGCTGAGATCGGAGGATCAAGGTTCAAAGCCAGCCCAGGCAGGAAAGTTCATGATACTTATCTCCAATTAACCATCAGAAAACCAGAAGTGGTACTGTGGCTTAAAGTGGTAGAGTGCTAGCCTTGACTGAAAAAGCTCTGGGACAGCGCCGAGGTCCTGAGTTCAAACCCCCAAACTAGCACCAAAAAAGAAGGAAGAAAAAAAAGGATGCCACAAATATACCTCCTCTACAGGGAGAGAGAGCAGAGCAGATAGCCAACTGCAGATCTCCAAATTATGACCTTAGGCCTCTGCCTGGGGCTTCAGCTCCCTCCTCCACCTCCCTCCCTCCCTCCCCCGTGTCTGGGAGCTCCTAGCTGAAGTGAGGCCAGTGCCTGTGCACCGGGCCCACGAGGGCAGGGCACTTGTGTCCCAGGTGCCAGGAGAGCAGACTTGAATGAGAAACACAACTGGATGGTAGTATGGACGTGGAGAGGCCCGGATGTCCCCGAGATGTAGCATGGTACCTGCAAGGAGACAAGCAGGCTCACCCCGCGATCTCGCCCAGCACTGACTGGAGACTGGAGTAAGACTTAGCTCCTGAAGTGTGCTGCGCCACCTGACAGCCTCCTTTCGTGCTCCCCGTCCCAGGCTGGGACCGGACTGTTTCCTGCCAGGGCTCCTTCCCAGCCTCAATTAGGAACTGAGCCATATTTCACACAGAAAAGCAGGCTAGTCCTGGACAAGGGGACAGCTGGGGGGCTCTCCGTGCTATCCATGACCAAAAAAGGGGGCTCAGTCCCCGAAGGAGAGCTCATGGGTGTATATGTGTGTACACGTGTGTGCAAGTGAGTGCCTTGGGAACATGGAACAGAAGTGCCTGCTGTCTGGCTGTAGGCTCCTGAGCAGAGGGGAGGGCAGAGGATGCGGGCCACTGGGCTGCCTGGCCTGCTGTCTTCCCGAGGTTCAAGTCAGCAGAGCGTCCTCATGGGGCTCAAGCCCGGTCAGCCGCCAGAGCAAGGCGCAGGCCGCAGGCCCTCAGGGCCGGGCAGGCTGACACGGCACTGCGGCACTGGGTCCAGCGCTGCTGGCTTGGGAAGTGAGACCTCTCATGGCAGGCGTGACCGGCTGAGCTCAGATGGAGCTGGGAGGCCGGATGCTGAGGTCTCTCTGTTACTCCCTGGCCTCTGCGCTGGACGTTCTCCCAGAAAGTGGGCTTCTCCATCACTGGGCCACTTGCAGCCCCAGAAGCTCTGAATATTCCCAATTGGCCAGAAGCACTGGAAGAGACTGCAGCTCCCCGCCCCTGCTCTCTTCCACAGCCACACAAAATGCACCCCTCACCCAGAGTCCAGCCACGTTCAGAGGGAAGCCAGCCGAGGGCCCTCCACTGTACTGGCCCTACTGCTGTCCTCTGCCCCCAACCCCCACGGCGCTGGGCCCTTCCTTAAACACACCGTCCTCAGCCCATACCGCACACGTCTGTGCCCTGGTGCTCACGAGGGACTCAGGCACCAAGGACGTGCCTGGACATAAACAGGGCTGTGTGACTTCCACGCAGTCCCTTTCGGGGCACATCAGTGTGGTCCTAAGCACTGAGCCAGTCCTGCGTGCTCAGGGACAACGGCACTGCTATTGTTTGTTCCCTCAACAAACACGTCTAGACACCTGGCACTCAGAACAGTGAGTTAGGGAGGCCTTGTGGAGACAAAGCCCAGCAGTTCTCAGGATGCTCTGAGCAAACTCCTGCAATGTCCACAGGTCTCAAAAACAGAAGAGGGTGGGGATGAGGAGGAGGGGCTGGGCTGGGCAGGAGGAGGAAGGAGGCTGAACACTGTGGAAATGCATGATCTCCAACTGTTAAAAACGAAACAAAGCCAGCACCAGTGGCTCATATCTGCAATTCTAGCTACTCAGGAGGCTGAGATCGGAGGTCTGTGGTTTGAAAACACCCCAGGCAGGAAAGTCTAGGAGATTCTTGTTTCCAGTTAACCACCCCAAAAAGCTAGAAGTAGAGCTGTAGCTCAAGTGGTAGAGCGCTATCCTTGAGCACAAAAGTTCAGAGACAGCTCCCAGGCCCTGAGTTCAAGCCCTAGGACCTCCCTGCCCCCCCCCCCCCCCCAAAAGGAACAATTAAACCTGCTGGCGATGCTTTCTAGGGAGACGGGGCAAGAAGTGTAGTAGAAGAGTCTGACTGGAACATACAGATCTGTGGAGATGTAAAAAGAAAAATCTCCCTAGCCAGGTACTAGTGGCTCACACCTGTCATCCCAGTTACTCAGGAGGCTGAGATCTGAGGATCATGCTTTGAAGCCAGCCTGGGCAAGAAAGTCCATGAGATTCTTACCTCCAAAAAAAAACCACCAGAAAACTGCACTGTGGCTCATTTTGAGCTGAAGAGCTAAGGGACAGCGCCCGAGCTTCAAGTTCAAGCCCCACAACCAACAAAAGATAAATAAAAATAAGAATGGAATAGAATATAGAGCTAGGAATGACAGAACTGACAAAAAAAAAACAAAACCCATAGCCGGGCACTGGTGGCTCATGCCTGTAAGCCTAGATTCAGGAGGCTGAGATCTGAGGACTGAAGTTTGAAGACAGCCCAGGCAGAAAAGTATGTGAGACTTATCCATTAAGCTGAGGCGGAGCTGTGGCTCAAGTGGTAGAATAGCCAGTCTTACGTGAGAGAGCCGAGGGCAAGCCTCAGCTTGCAGACAATGCAGTGCCGCTTGCACCCACACAGGCTCTCAGGTCTGGCCCGGTGGGGCTGCCATCGCAGCACATGAGGCTCCGTGCAGGCAGCCACCCCAGCCACTGCAGGTGGCTCCACCTTTCAGCACACACTAAGGGGTGGAAGGCTAGGTGACTTTAGTGTCCAGCCCCGAAGTGAAGCGCAGTCCTGCAGGTTCTAGGTCAGCTTTACTACAACAATCCTGCCTCAAGCCAGGGGCCGGTGGCTCACGCCTGTAATCCTAGCTACTCAGGAGGCTGAGATCTGAGGATCGAGGTTCCAAGCCAGCCCAGCAGGAAAGTCTGTGACACTCTTATCTCCAATAAAGCACTAGAAAACCAGAAGGCGCTGTGGTTTAAGTGGTAGAGCCCTCGCCTTGAGCTGAGGGACAGCGCCCAAGCCCAGAGTTCAAGCCCCACGACTGACAAAAACAAAACAAAACAAAAAAAACACTACAATCCTGCCCCCTTTGGACGAGCTGTCCATTATACAGTGTATACTCTCACAGGCACCCTGATTTCATTTGTTCCAGAGGCAAACTTCACACAGCACTTATACTAAGTGCCATATTTAGGAATACTTAGGAAAGCATTAGTTAATGATGTGGTTAATAAAACAGCATTCAGTTATACAGGGTTCGAGGACAGGCAAAACTAATCTGGGATAGAAGCTAAGGTGGTAACCTTTGGGGGAGGAGAGGCAGCTCAGGCGAGGGACAAGAGGGGGCCCTCCAGAGGCTGGAGGTGATGTATACACACACAAACTCACGTCTGGCCCCACAGACAGCATGAGTGAGCAAAAGTACACACTGGAGTCTTGATTCTCAACGACTACAAAGAACAGTGAAATCTGTAATTACTGTACCCCCATGCCTGTTTCTCTACAATAGTCTCCTTATATTAACAATGACAGAAATCTCGAGTGGTTTAGGAAAAGTGGGAGGGATTGGGACAGGGTCTCCTTGTGCAGCTCAGGCTGGCCTGGAACTTGATTTTATAGTCCAAGGATGGCTGAGAACTTGTCCTCCTGCTTCCTAAGAGCCTAGATTACAGGCTTGTGTCATC